AAAAGTCAGTCAGTCAAATATTAATTGAGAAAGACAAATTGAGAAAGATTAATTTGCTGCAGAGAAGGTTTTTCCAATATGATAGAAAATGGCAACTGTTTCCTACATCTCAGGCACCTTTTTAAGTATTAAATGCCGGCTCTGTTAGAATAATATAAAAAAGACCATTCAGTTGATTACTTGACTAATATCAAGTTAAATGATGCATTTTTTCGTTCCAACAATTTTATCTCACTAAAAGCCTACTGCAGCAAAGTTTTTTCCGAGAAAGTCATGTTTCCTCTATTATTTACCCAGACCCTTATTCTTTTCAATCCATTTGTCAGTTTTATTTATGCAATTGCACCAAACAGGTTAGGTCCTATAAGGGTGCACGAGACATATATTAAGTATAGACTCACATGCACGTAAATTTTCATTTTCCATTGATACTCGCACACTTTTTGCTAGAATACTTACTTTGAAGTCGCTTGCACTTGTAGTTTAGAAGGGACTTAAGACCTGACATCAACAAACTGAGCCTCAGATAACAAATTTAACGCACTTTATTATGTAATGTCAACTACTAAAACTACTGAACTTGATTGGGTCAGTTTCAATTCATCTAGGATTGACTAGGTTTATATTTACTTTAAACCGGCTTTGTTGTTAAATACATAAAAAGCCTCTTAATTAAGGAAATGCACAAAATATGCCTCTTTGATTAAAATAGAAAGTCCGCCCCATATGTTACCTGATATTAAGATCTAAAAATAGGCCAAATGTTATTTTGTTTGTTTCAAACTCATAATGATATCAATAAATCAGTCCGACTTACACCATTTTTAAAATGGACAGCAATACTGCGCGTTGATATTTGGCGAAGGTGAATGCATGAATTCAGTGATAATGCAAGTACTAACGACTGCACTTGAATATCGTACAATGTATTGTTCAGGACTATGATCTTTGAGATGGCGTAAGCAATTAAAATAATAATAATCAAACCGACCACTGTTTGCCTCCTTTTTTTAAATAAAACTTGCTCCTTGCACATATTATAGTAGGGTTCTTTTGATTGGATAAATGACTTTTCACGTAACTGGTCAGCCAATCGTCGTAATTTGCTTATGACTTGTACTTTAATGCCTACGACCCAAGTATAAGCCTTTTGGGAAAGCAATGCAAATATATTGTCTTAAATATCCTAAACAGTTTACTTGGAAATGCTCAGTTTTATGACATGCAAATGCGTTAATGTTTGCCTGTCCGGAATGTCCACCATAGTAGTCTGGGCATAATGCTACCTTGGAGCACTGGAAGCTTTAATGCGAAACCGCAAGTGCACAGTAGTAGGAAGACTGCAGCGTGACTTAGACGAAAATTTGAATAGGTAAGTGGTCCAACAAAGAGACACCTCAAGAAGTATGTAGGTGACTTAGGAAGTAGTTCAATTATTTTCAAATTCCCTTTTGCTAAATTGCGAAGTTGCAATAGCCAAGCCACGAAATGCCACTCTGCCAAAACTGAGAGTTTAAAAAACAGCCGATCCCTCTATAAGTAAATGTTTAAAAAGTGCCAGAAAATGAAGGTACTGATGCCAAAACTTATAACATTTGGGTCGCAATAGCAGTGAACTTCCAGACTGCCCTTCAGCGCGCCTATTAGTGTGCGAGCTGCACAATCTACGCAGCGGAGAGGCGGGATGCAGTTAAATGGGGTAAGCCGATGTAACTTAGTAGGCACCAGACTTCTCTGCTTCGTAAAGGGGTACATTGTGAATGATGCGGTATGCAGGACCAGTCTTTTTGTTACAATCGCGATACGATTGCATTTGTTTTACTTGAGTACTTGACTGCACCGACTATAAGGATAATACTTTGGAATACTTTCTCGATGAATGCTACTTTTGTTCAATTTACTACCTCAATATTTCGAGTAAAACACTTTGTCGTGCTAATAAAGTTACGTTCAGGGAAAATAAAAATGCTTTTTAGGAAAAGTTGGTTTCCAACATTTCGCGCCTTAAAATATGCACAATTGTTTGGACCTAGCAGTTTGTCTTAACCAATTTTCTCAAAACTAGCATGCATCAAGCAAAACAATTGCCTGAGAGACCTCCTAGCTTTGATTGTTAATGGCAATGAATTTTGGGGAAAACTTAAAAATCTTGTGCCTTGTATTATGCAAACCAGTTCCACTGTCATATCAAATTATCGATCCCGATCACTGAAGAAAATTATGCTCTATTTATTCCATTTTGACCGGTCAAGGCAGATTGGATTTAATCTGACGATCCCAGAGGTACTATGATTCTCTAGGGGAGAAAAATTCAGGTTCTTCCGTAAAAAGTCTTCCATCACTTTAAAAGCGACTTTCCTAGAATGCATAATGTCTTCACTCAAAGCATTTTTGCGACACACTGGTGTGAGGCCAGTTGTATTAGCTGTCTAACGAATAAATTGAGACATTTTATTGTTCACAATCTGGTCAAAACTGTGCAGCTCAAAGCGCTATGAATTGCTCAAAAAGGTGGTACTAAAAATTGTTAAATTTCAGATACTTTTTCATTATTTTTGACTTGTGTATGTGCCCACTCCACATTTGCTGTAAGTAGTGCATTACCTCTACTTCTGCTTATTCGTACATCGTTACCATCTTTTATTCAGCCTTCTCAAAAGGTCATTTGAAGAATGCCGAAATGAGGAATAATATCTGTTCCTAAGTATACATGGATGCACATTCATTCAATGTCTTATAGTTTGCAAGCCTCTTTAACAGGTAGGATCGTATATCTATCAACAAAGATACCCATAAATGTTAATCAAACCCAAGTCTACGGATTTAATAAGAAGGCAGGAATTCGCCCTCCTAGAAGCATCACTTAAGTAACGGTGTAGGGGGTGATCTACCTCCATTTTACTCCAAAAGCAGCATTTAAGCAGCTATGCGCATCTTCTTAACTGGATAAATCACTACACCACCTACTGGATAATAAACACTCCTCTCTTGCATCGAAGCAACTCTATTGCTTGTGATGCATAAACGAGGTCATAGGATTAAAATAAAGTATGAACTCACGTTTTCCGGCATTTATGAGCCTGAAAAAACATCCAAAAACAAAACGACAATGGCCATAGTAAAATAGTGTCAAGTCATGCAATAGATCGGATTTTAATGTCGTGCAGAACCAATTGAAGGATGGGAAGTTTCATTTTCCAGAAATGCTTGAAATGGTGCAAGTGGGGAATGCGTATTTTTGAAGACAGCAGTAAACCTAGATCATTTTCTTAAAAGCTAAATATCCAGTCCTTCTTGCTGACATTATACATTCCCAAAACGCACAAATCATTTGAACATTCCTAGGATGATATTTTCTTAGACAAGATGGAGCACAAGCAATTGTCCGACCTAAGGTATTCATCACTAACTCATTTGATAAGCCAGAAGCTTTATATTGCGGGTGTAATTAAATTGTCATCCTTATAACTTTCCATAGTTACGGTGAATTACCAAATGCATTTGTTAAGGATAATCAATTAACATCAGTCTACTGTCCACTTTAACACAATGCACCGACGTACACGTCTCAAAAAATATAGTTAACCTTGTCTATGTTAGGGAATAATAGCCGAATTCAGCAATGCCAAGGCCGACATTAACTGGATGGATAAAACATCCGCTAGCCCGACTACATAGTTTCACATTTGACCAAAGTCAACCGCAAAGTAAACATCTGCTACTGTCTCATTAGAGGAAAACGGTGGGCGAGTTTGGAAGCAGCTATAATTCTAACCGGTCGTCTAGTCCATAACTCGTGTTAGTCAACCTATTTTACAATTCGATGAGAGGATTAATGCGTCTCTACTTTCCGTGCTTCGTTTCTTCAATGCTATGGATTAGTTCTGCGATGTACATCAAGACACTAGAGCATTTAGACT